ATTTATGGAATAAAAAAAGACAGCCCTTTGCTTTATGTTTGAGCACTGAGCAATCCATAAGATCACACCTATATCATTTCAAGCAACCTATTCTCCAGACCTAAGATTAATTCACCCAAGGATTAATTTTCCTTGCAAAACCTTATTGATTAGACAAGTAAACTTCTATCATTTGTCTTAAGCAAAACAAATCCCTAAATTTTTTACATTAAATGAATCACCATACTTAATTTTTAACAACATTTGAAATTGCAATCCGTGCATGGGGCGATCTAAGTTCGCGAAGTCGCTTCTCTTCAGACAGCAATTTTGCAAACCTATAACCACAAAAATTTTCAGGCATAAGTACATGAATTATATTACATATAGAAAAGTGTCTCCAACTTAATACAGACTACATAATTGTAATCATTGATGAGTGAGGACTCCCTAAATGTAGGACATTCCTCTCCAAAAACCAATGATTAATTTGTTTGAGTTAGACTGAAAAACAACGTTCTCCATTACATATATGGAAAGTTAAGATTTCTAACCTCTTCAGAGCCTCTTGATTAGATCCTTGACCACAAGACTCAAACCGACCCGTTTCCAAATTAATCCTAGAAACTGGTTTTTTCAACAGTTCTTCCCCTACTTCCACTAGATCATCCAAATTCTTCTTTGTTGCTATATCAACTGAAGATACAACCCCATTTAATGTATCATCCTGCACATAAAATACAGAGGAAATCGATTTAAACCATTGATCAATGCACATAAGTTTTCTTCTTTGTTGCTATATCAACTGAAGATACAACCCCATTTAATGTATCATCCTGCACATAAAATACAGAGGAAATCGATTTAAACCATTGATCAATGCACATAAGTTTTCTTTTGGACTTCACACTTTCACAGGTTGAAAAGTAGGTCATATAAATATCAACCGTTGACAATGCACATAATTTTTCTTTGGGCTACTTTTCAGCCTGTTGTTCGGTCCAAAATCATTGTCAAAGAGGTCTACGGAATTATTACATGATGTTACTGTAATACTTTAATTCTACATCCCTATAATTATAAGTGATATATAATTATAGAGATTAATTACCATTAATAATTATTATTAATAATTAACCATTACTAATTTAAGTTTGAACTTGTAAGAATCTGCAAACATTGGCTCAAAAAGTTTGGCTTCGGCCTGAATTGTGTCAATTACAGAAACAAACAAATTAAGAAAAGTCTATGCTATATATATGCATGTACGGTACCTGAATGCGGAGGTATTTATCTTCACATTGTACGGCTTTGAATACGACGGAGAGGTGCAGGTCGACCATATCGGCACTGGCTTGATTGAATATGTTGACTAAAGGGGTGGAACCACCGTTGGTTAGCCAACTCAGCAGACCCCATTTTGCCACCTCCTCTGCGGTGTATTTCTCTTCGACCAGTTTGTTTGAGCCAGTTCCCAAGGATATAACCAAGAATCTCGTGTAATCCAACGGTTTTATTGGGACAAAATCGGAGCTGCCTCCAGTTATCTCCTTCGTCACTTCACTTATAGCCACTAAAGTCTACGAGGAATCAAATCAATAAAACAGATATAAGCGAAATTGTTGCTCGAATTCAGAATTTTTAACTAGGAGCTGGATTTAATCTAATATACACGAAAATTTACCAAAAGACACTGCTTGACTGCTACACACAAAAAAAGAATGGAGATTTTATAGATCTATTTACCGGATTATTGGCTGCAACACCCCCATCTATTAAGTTGAATTCTCTGATAACTTCTCCGGCGACGTTTTTGGTGGTGAAATAATGGGCCGGAAAATAAGTCGGCGCAGCTGAGGTTGCAATGCAAACGTCCGAGAGTAAAGCATCTAACGATGGCTTTCTCTTCACCTGGTCCGCAAAATAGGAAATCATCATTCCTTAGTCAATAATAAAAAATTTAATTAGGATTAATTCCAATTTGACTTGATAAAAGAGGGATTTTGAAGAGGAAAACCAACCTCATAGGTGGAAAAGATGGTTGGCTGAAGGGTTTTGATGTCAAATGTAGGAATTACAACATTAGTTAATGTCTGGTGTAGTTTTGTGTTTCCCAGTTTGTTCCTAACAATCTTGTGCAGGAATTTACCGTCATATTGGGGTCCAAACAGAGCTTTGATTACTTTTCTTGCACGAGCAAATAACGGGCAACTGTTGGAAACAAAGAAACAAAAGAAATCATGTTAGCTTAATGAAATGCCACAAAGTTTATTACATGAACTTAATTTAGAACTAGAAATTGTATCAGTTATTACCTAGGTTGGGGGAAGATTTTAGGGCCATTGTTTAGGTAGAAGTCCTTTATGTCTTTGGCAGCGAAAAGTGGCCCCTTTTTTTCATTAGGAGCAGTTAGCATGGCTGTCATGAGACCACCGGTGCTGGTGCCTGCAATTACATCGAAATAGTCTACAAGTCTTGCTTCTTCACCATCCAGTTTCTGTACAATGGATCAAAATCAGTTTTTGTGCATGGACATGTGCAAAATGATAATAATAAAAAAATTCATATTTAGAATTTGGCATAAAAGCTTAAAATAATCAATAATGTGCAGAAATGAATTTTTTTCATCTAATTAAACATGAAAAGTAGGACATGAATTACTCTATAAATATATATATAACAATATATGTCCGCGTTAATTAGTCTATATTGGTATTACCTGAAGTTCAGACTCTAGAAAATTAAGGATAATCCCCGGGATAACCCCTCGAATTCCTCCTCCATCAATGCTGAGAATGGTGATTAGATTTCCGTAAGTTGGAGGTTGCAACTGTAAAGGTGAATTTGGCCCTTCCATGAGCATTTAATTTTCTTTTTCTTGTGTGTGTGTGTGTAAATTAGAAAAGAGAATGGAAAGGGAGAACCTAGAGTAATTTTAATCAAGAGCCCTTAAGGGAATTTGAGCTTTCAAGAGAGCTTTGTGAACTATAATGAACTATTTTGATGCCAGGACAAAAGAGTATGAGGTATTTATGGAAGGCGGACCCCCTCCATTTCACGAACTTTGAAAATGTCATTTGAGAACCGATCAGTTTCGTGGGGCCAAAAAAAAAGAAAAAAAAAAGTCTTATAAAATTGATTCTTAATTTGACCAAGCACATTTCTTCGGAAAAAAAATCGTGCTTTTTATAGTCACCCTCTTTTTAAATTTGTTGACGTATAACTTGAGACTAATAATGTTTTAGAAGTGCACCAGTTATATATGTATTTAATAACAACTCCTTTGCAAAAAATTTTCATTAAAAAAATTATATCTTTAGACTCAAATTCTACATCTAATTTAAAAGACAACACTAGTTTAACAAGAAATCCAAGTCTTGGAAAAAAAAACCAAGTTAATTGGACTGCATTTACGTTGAAGACGATATACAGGGGGCCGGTACACCTTTATTTCCTTCCCATCCAACGAACTTAATGTGCTAGGGAACAATTTAAAAAGTGACATTTGAACCATGTAGATTGTTTTCTTTTCAATTCGGTCATTCGTGAGAATTGTGGTTGATACCACGAGAGAATTGTAGGTATGACCGAGTAGGTGATGCATGCTGCACAGGAGAGAAGTAAATATCTCATATAATAGGCATATTGCTTTATTATTGTCTTTTTTTTTTTCATAGCCAGGACTAATGGTTTTGATTTGAAGTGCACTTAACATCATGATAAATGTTAGATACCTACATATACTTATATTATTTTAATGAATCACGGGGCAATAAAGGGAGATTGATTTTTCTTTTTTTTCGCAAAAGGTGGCGTCAAAAGTGGATAAAAACCTACCATTTACATGGTCAATTAAGACGATTTTTAATTATGTGAAATTCTTTATATATATGTGTCAAACATTCACGCATATAAGATTTGGAAGATGGACAAAGAGATGTCAAATCTAATCACGCATATAACACAACCCCTTTCATCAATCAAAATAATTTGTAGCTAGCGAGGACTTTGGTGTAATTAGAAGATTTCATGTTTAAAATGGATGAAATTGTTTCAATTAAAAGAATAAGGGCACAAACTAAATTCCAACAAAGGTTCAAGTGCCTCTGAGCGAATCATCGAATACGTGCCTAGACAACCCATCGAATACAAAGATTATGATATTATCCAAGAAATAAATTTTAATCAGAATCAAGTGACCAATTAACACCAGATTAAGCAAAAAAAAAGGGGCGGGGGAGGGGGGGAGGGAAGAAATTACTAGTACTTTTCTATTACGTAACATAAAATGACTACATTTAATTGTTTGATTTTTTATGCACAACTTTGTCATGACGAAATAGATGGATGACCCTAATAAATATATAATTTTTGAATGTGATCATCATGTCCGTAAATTACAAGAAGTTCCCATCACGGAAAGAAATCAAACGAAGCATGTGTCAGAATTAAAGGAGAGATTTTTTAATATATATTTTTGTTTAAGGAGTTTTTGCATTAATTTTTATAAATTTTAAAATTAATTCTTTGAAAAAATTAATTATCATAAGTGTTGATTTCAAAACTTAAACCATACACTTGATTTATGAGATTAGGTCTATTTACTAATAAATTCAACTTTTAAAATTAGAAATAAAGATAATAAATAGAGGTAGATGGATGAACCTCCCACAATGACTTTGAATCAAGCTCCTAAATAAGAAGTAAGAGTTCTCTCATAATCTGGAACTTTCGAATTCGTCAATGACTGTACCAAAAATGAGATAAACGTGTTTCTTTCTCTTCAAGATTCTTATTAATTACATGAGTTGGGTTGGTCATCTCTGGAAATGAAGATGAAAAGATTAATAATATACACTACTGAAAAGAAAGGATAAGATTTTACCCAGGAGAAAAAAAAAAAGGAAAAATGAAAAGAAAGGATAAGAAACTTGATATGGATTAATTAAAGGCAGTTAATCACGGATTAGATTCTTTCAATGATTTTTTTTTTAAAGTATTTACTAAAGAATAAAACAATGAGAATGTTTTATTGTGAAAGCTAGAAGATCATCAATCTCGACGCTTTAAGCAATGTGCAACTGCATGTTACAGGTTCAAGCCGATCGCCTCAGAGAGATTGTAACCACTTCTTTCCTTTCTTTACCCTCCCCTGCCTGTTTCATCAACGCACGGTTGAGGATTATTAAGGTTGTTGAACATCGTATTGGTATGTGTATGAATTTTATTGATAAAATAATATGTATCATATATTAAAATTTTTGTATATCATTTTAAATTTATCATTATAAATATATATTTTTATATAAATGAAATATATAATTATAAAATAATATTTAATGAGTATAAGAAAATTTAAAACTTAAAAAAAAATAATTTTTTAAATCTTCAAAACATATTTAAAATTACAAAATTCATGAAATGTTAATATTATAATATTAAAGATGAATAATATATTAACATATTTTATATTTACTTATAAAAATTCATATATTTATTTAAATCTAAACCTAACAAAAGTAAAAAAATTTAAATGTTTATTTAGATTTATAATGTTTTCTTTTAAGTTTAAATCTAATTAATTATTCATCTAACCTATTTGGTTAAAAATAATAATAATTTGAAATCTAAGTCACAATTTATGTATATATATTTAAAAAATAGAGATATTTTTTTGATAAAAGAATAAGTACCTACATTGATAATTATATTTTTCTAAAAGATAAATATGTTTTTACAATATTGTTCAATAAGTGCTGTGTTGTTTTTAAAAAGAAAAAAAGAAGAAAAGAAAAAAAGAAAAAAGAAAAAGGAAAAAAAAAACTCATACCGACAAAATTTTAATATACTAACCAATACGTTGATGCGTTGAAATACTAGTGTTACACTAAAATTTGACCAAAATTTGACCAAACTGATTAGTATTTAATCAAAACAAAATTTAACCTTATATTGTTTCAAATTAAGTCTAAAACCAATATGTACCTACCGGTATGAAACGGCATTGATAACCTTGTTGAGGATTCCAGCCGATCGTCTCAGGGATATTCGTACAGCTTTTTTCCTTTGTCCATCCTCAGCTGCCTGTTTTAACAGAGAAAATTCTCGAAAAAACGCTGTTGCTTTAATAGAGGATTAGTTGAGATATACCTTACTTGAATGGATGAATTCTGTCCCAATTACATCTAAGTACGAAAATGTTTAAACTTAGCAAGATCTAGTCTCAAAACTAATCAGTATATTCTAATAAAACCTAAGACAAGGTACCAACAAGAACAACTATGTACAAAAATTAACAGTGATTTGTTCTTGTTTGTGTACTAATCTCTTATGTAACATAACTAGAAATATTGCTGGAAACATCATGAAATTGAACCAGAAGATATTATAGTTTCAAACTATAGTGATCATATAGAGATACTAAGGCTAAAATGTTGGATAATACTTCAAGAAAGTTAAAGTATACCGTGTCATTGTTTGTGAACTCTTCCCTCAAAATTTCCCCAATTTTGAAGCTATGCTCCTCTCTTTCATGTAGGAAGAACAAACTTGATGTCTATGTTCTCACAGTTTCAACAGAAGGCATGTTAATGGGATAGTGAGAGGAATCCTTTGGCACTTTTCTTTGTCTTAATGAGAATAACTGATACTAGAAATGCAGCAACCGGACAACATAATAAAAGCCAAGTTTCAGCGTCAGGAAATATTTGAGTTCTTTTGTGCAGAAGAATTGCCTCTTCTAGATTCTCCTTTTTCAGCACAGTAACCTGACTTTTCATGCTTGTCATGTCGTTTATTATTCGAATTTCACCTTCAACAGTATCCTCTTCTCTTGGTTCAATTTTTGCAAATTTCTTCATCTGCCTCCACCATAGCCATCCTAGCCATCCTTTTGTTCCCCAATTCCAAAGCATTTGTTGCATCAGACGGTTAATCCACCACATCAAAGAAGAGTGGCATCTGATCAACTTGTATGGGTTTAGTCTTTTCCACAGTTTCTGTTTCCTGCACCACAAATTCCTTACAGTTTCTGTTTCCTGAAATATCTTCAGCCACATATAAACATTCATTATGACATTCTTCAGTTTCTTTTTCCAGCAGTTTGATGTCCTAACCGACTGGTTGAAAATCTCGAATGTTTTCTTCAATGCATCTTCACACTACACATATCATCACCCTCCCAATCTTTCTTTACATCTTCGGTTATCTCCAACAATCCTGTGTTTCCATCATCTAGGCCCAACACTTCACTCAAATCATCCATGCCAGCTACTGACCCTGAACTACCATTGTTTTCCACAGTTTTTGTTTCCTACAACACAATATCCTCAACCTCCCCGGTTTTCACCACTTCCTCTTCTCTTACGTACATCAACCACCTCTAAACATTCAGTTCCTATTTCCAGCGACTCAATGCCCTCAAACCATCCGGTTGGAAACCACACCTGTTTTCCCCAATGCAACTTCGCATTCATCTTCGTTTTGCCCCACTCTTCTTTACATCTTCAACTATCCCCAAGGATCCTACATTTCTATCCCCTAGGTCCAACGCTTCACTCCAATGATCCCTGCTACATACTGTCCCTACATAACCATTGTCATTAGTCATCTCTTCTTCCTCAATGCCCTCAACTTTAACCTTGTGATTTAAGCCCAATAGACGCAATTCTGCTTCTTCATTTTTATCAACTAAACAATACCCCCTGTCAAGACTCTGCAGAATGTCATGCACATGAGTTTGAATCTTGCAATTCCAATCTTTAAGACCCTCAAATGTATGAAAAACTGGTGATTGAGCTGGAGAACTCATAGAAGAACCATATGAGGCAGATAGGACAAAAACAGCCAACAAAAGAAGAGAATCCAGAACACCATTCAAACTACAACCTTTCTTCTCCTCTACTTCCTCAATTTCATCTCCAGTTCCACCATCCAACTCTTCATCTTCTTTCTTCAAATGATATTCTGATGAAGAAGAACCCAAACAACTACTGCTATTAATCAAACCATCCTTATCACTGTCCTCCTCGGAATCAACGATTCCACTGCTAATGATACTAATTCCAACTTCTTCTAAAATCTCCATTTTGTAATCAGCAGGGTCATATCTGGAAGTCTCTGTACTGGGGGGGTAATTTTCCGAGCAAAGCTTTTCCTTTTAGGGAACTTGGCCTTTAAAGCTGATGACATCGTCAGTAACATAAAATTCTTCTCTGTTGGGTTCCTAGGGTTTTGCAACCGGGAACCCATTTCTTGATCGTTCTCGACCATACTTTACCCATAAAAGAAGCAACTTTGTTGAGCGAACTTCCAAATGGAAATCAAACGATTGAACAGAATGAAAGCTTTGATTCAATTCCTTTTGGGTGCTGGGAAAAGAAGGAAAAAGCATTTATTTTCATCCCAAACAAACTAATTAATACAAAAAAGCCAGAGAACCCTACCTCTGGAGGTTGCAGATTCTTTACCAGGAACTGATGAGGGATTCATTCTGGGGCTTTCATTTCATCAATTTCTGTGTGTGAATGAATTGATCCAATTAGGTTTTGATTTCGTAGCTTTGGGAAGAACTGGGGATTTGGGTTTGCTATATGCAACAACTCTGCTTCCGTTCAAAGCGAGATTGTCAGCTGATGGTTTCCTATTGCTTCGGTTTGTTCTTGCGCCTTGAGAAGTTGATTACTTTAGGTTCACTTAACTCCTAAACAATTTGTGTTAGATTCAGAACAGAGTTCAAAGAAGATGTATATATCAATTTTACATTACATAAAAGTAACGGGTGAATTAGATGTCTATCCATAAAGTAAAGGCAATTAATTTCTTGTTCATTCTCACTACTGTAAATCTGCTTTTCGTTATGTAATGTATTAAATGGTTATATTGACATGTTTATTTCACTGATGCGATGCAACAGTTGTAAGGAAGATTTCTTTTAATAAAAGAACAGTCCACACAATTTTCTTAAAATACTTGTGAATTTTATATAAGCCCATTCTAAACTGTAATTACTTAACTAGAGTTGTGAAATTCCAAATTTTGGAATTAGTTAGGCATGCATGCATAATCTTCCACCCCATGCATTCCAGAAATTATATAACCATGTTTCCTCTATATATTTCAAGGAACATTTTTCTTATTGCTTACACGAATAAGAAGACTTCCAATTCTTCAACTTCAATACACAAATTAAACTTAAAAAGAAAAAAACAAATTAATTAAATTTCATGCATGGTGTTCTATTGTTACAACTGTATGCTTAGATTACAGATTAATTTTTCACCATGTTCCACAGGTATATATATGAAAAAGGATTAAGTGAACTACAGCTTCTTGTAAATTTGTGGTGACCTCTGTTCTCGCAGCATTCTTTCATCAGAAAGCAGTTTTGCAAACCTGGAAGCAGATAAATGATACATTACTAACCTTAATTAATGAAGAAAAAAAAGTATTTATAATAATGTTTTGTGCTAATTCTATTTTTTTCTTCCCAGACGTACTTCTTAAGAGCCTCTGCGTTGGTGACATCCTTCTCAACCGGTTCAGATAATCCGGTTTCCAGATTCACCCTGGAAACTGGTTTACGAAGTAGATTTTCACCGATCTGTACAAGTTTGTTCAAGTTTTTCTTCGTAGCAATATCCACGGAAGATTCTTTTCCAGTTAATGTATCATCCTGCATGATTCGTAATTAAGTACAATTAGTGATCAGTCGATCAATATACAAGTTAATAATCTAGGAAAAGTATTGGCATTTAATTGAGAAAACTTACCTCAATTCGGAGGTACTTTTCTTCAGAATGAAGGGCTTGGAAAACAACGGAAATATGGAAATCAACCATATCTGCACTAGCTGCAGTGAACGTATCAACCAAAGGAACCGACCCCTCATGAAGTAACCAACCCAAGATGCCCCATTTTGCAGCCATTTTGGAGTTGTACTTCTGCTCTATCTTGTGTGAGCCTGTGCCGATCGAGATCATCAGAAACCGGCCATAGTCCATTGGCTTGATCGGGAAGAAATCGGGATTTTCGTCAAATACTTGTTTGGTCACTTGAGTTATGGCAACCAAAGCCTGAAAATTAAGAGAGAAATTAATCATCCACCAACAAAATACAATGACTGCATTATGGTTGAAGTTAAGGCCACCTTTGTTAAAGCCATTAATTTTATCTGTAATTTTACTAATTTTTAGTTATTTTTTAAAATAATTTGTTATGATATTTTAAAATATTTATTTATAAATTGATTTTAATAGGTTAAATAATTAATATTAATTATTTTATTAATTATTATTTATTTTTAACAGATAAATTAAGATAAAAATGTAATTATTTTAGTGATTATAACAAAATTAATAATAATCATAACTATTTTCCTACGTTATATACACAATTTAAAATTTAGTATAATAATATAAAATGTACGTCTGAATAACATGGTGGAAACAATATAAAATTTTAGAACTATATAAAAAATTGAGTTTATGTTGGCCAAAAATAAAACTATATCCGAAGTTAATAATCCAATCAATGTACTTAAAACATACTGGATTGTTTGCAGCAATACCGCCGTCAACAAGGTGATATTCTCGGACATTCCCTTGATAATCTTCGTTCTTGAAGTAACAAGCAGGAAGGTACGTCGGAGCTGCTGATGTGCCGATGCATATGTCAGATAATTGAGCATCCAAACAAGGAGATCTCTTCACCTGCGTTAATTGGTGAATTGAGGGTTATAATTTTCTAATCAATGTTGAATTCTGGGTTTTTGCTTGGGACTAAATAAAAGTCATGATCTATTTTCCACAGGAAACAAAATTCAATTATTAAACACAAAGATAGTGAGAATCATTGATCGATACAAACGAAGATGATTCTAGAAACTAAGAAATTAAGGGAGAAAGCAACCTCATAAGATGAAAAGATGACTGGCTGCAAACATTTGATATCAAAAGTTGGAATAACGACATGGGCTAAGGCATCGTGCAGTCGTTTTTCTCCGAGGCTCTCCCTTACCAACCGGTGAAGATACTTGCCATCGTACTTTGGCCCCGCTAATGACTTCAATACTTTTCTAGCTTTCCCCCACAAACCCCTAAAATCAAACAAAACCAATAAATCCGTCCATTATTCACATTACATATATATACAAGCTCTGTAAATATTAGGGTTGTTTGATTACCTAGCTAATTACCATATGGAAATTAGCTAATAGTTTTATGTAGTAGGAGTACCATATGAGACAGATATAATGGAATGAAGTATTCTTTATATATATATATATATATTTCCTTTTTTTTTAATATTTACATAAAAGACAATGATTTATATAAAATATAATAATTAAAGTACATTTGGTTTTTCACTCCAATCGACACGTTATTTTTAAAAAAATATTATTTCATGGGTTGAAGTTAAGCAAGGAAGTAACTTACACTTGCTGCCATTCACACTTCAATTGTCTATTTTTGGTTTCCAAACAAACTAACTGTAATAGTTGAAAACTTGAAAACCCGTAAAATCCCAAATTAAATATATTAGTGTCTTTGTCTTCTTGGACTTCTCTAATTGCATCCTCTCCCTTTCTCACCTGTCACCTCCCCCTCAGATTCATTCTCTTCTCCAATCCTCCCCAAATCTTCCCTTTCTGCCTTCACCCACTAGTTTGTCTCTCAAAACAACGAGGGCTAATATTATTGTCATTTCATAGGATAAGTACGGTTAGGGCCGAGTATATTATTGTCGGGCAATTTTAATTACTTTCGGGAAATGATCAACACCAAGCAAAAGGAGTCATTTTCACCTTGTCAATGTTGTCATTAGTTTCTGGATCACTCACTTTTCTACAAGTACTAAATAGGCCCTTAAGAACTTTGCTAGAAAAACATAAAAAATTCTCTACTAGAGAGAATGATACCTCTTCTGTGGAAATATTTTGGGGCAATGCTCAAGATAAAAGGGCTTGATGTCCTTAGCAGCAAATAGGGGACGATTATTTTCATTTGGAGTTGTTAACATGGCAGTCACAAGACCACCAGTACTTGTCCCTGAAATCACATCAAAATAGTCTGCAAGTCGCGCATCCTCCCCATCCAGCTCCTGCATTCACATGGATATAAACCTAATTCATATACTTCCTAGCTACTTACATATATGACATATCATAAAGAAATCACACACAAGCACGCACGTATACCTGAAGCTGAGATTCAAGGAAGGCAAGAATGGTAGCTGGAATTATCCCTCTAATGCCGCCTCCATCAATAGAAAGTATTGTGATGAGGTCCCCGGAAGTTGGGGGCTGGAGCTTGAGAAGGGATGATGGCAATCTCTCCATTAAAAGGACTATCAATAATATTTGAAGTATCAATGCTAAACTTATGTATGAGTATTTTTCAGTCGAAGTAATGCTATTTATTTCTCTTTTCTAAGGGAATCGATTCAATTTGGTTTCTGTTCACGAATTTGATGTTCTGAAACCAAATATTTATAATCAATGTTGGCGGTAATTTGTGGTCTTTGTAATGATAATGGAGGTTGATTTGCGAACCATGCACGCACACGTATATACACGATACAGATGTCCGAGGTGCATGGCCGCGGCAGACTAAACACTAGAATTCTTGTTTTTAGCAAAATTTGTGCCGCAAGATTATCCCTTAATGAGACTTTTATATACTTTTCAAATTCCTTGAAACATCAGAATTTTCTTGCGTGGGGATTACCTAATTCACCTATACATGAAAAGTCCACTAATTGCATTACGTGTTTCCTCGTCATTAATTGTTTTAGTTATTGATAACGTCGTATAACAAAACACATGCACTAATTAATGGATTTATCTTTTCAAAAAAAAAAAAAAAAAACTAATGGATTTAATTCACATATATTAAAAAGTGGCTAAAATATGCATTTAGCCCATCACCTTAACAAATTTAAAACTTTTAACTCCTCAACTTATATTATAAGGTTTTTAATCTCTAAACCTAAAGGTTTTAAAATTTTAATCCCTAAATTAACAAAATATATTATTCTTTGTTAAAGTGAAAATAAAATATTTATAAGATGAATTTTCAAAAATTAAAAATATAATAATTTCGTTTTAAAAGTTTAAAAATTAAAAAAAATAATAAATTAAAAATACTTAGCGGATGATTTTGCTACATACATGAGAACATTATTAGATCATATCTACAATCAAATCGAGTGATTAGCTTAATTTAAAGAAAAAATTTGACTGAAATTAAAGAAAAATTTAAAGAACAATTGACAGAATAGGAACTGATTTATTTTACTAGGGCTACGATGTAGTCTAATCAATTCAATATAGATTTTGTGATTTTATGATTTTCATTAAAGTTATTTGCATGAGGAGTTTATATTATTGAACTTAATGCATTAGAAGCTTAATCATCTTTCAATTGATTTAGTGATTTATGCATGAACTTGAGAAAAAATTGCGTAGATTAGACCAATAATAATATAAACCGTGTATTAGACTATTAGACTGAGAGATAATTAGCCCACATGTGGTAGTGTAGGAAGAGAAGAGAGTTAGTAGCTCCCCCTTCTTAAACTAGAGGTTTCCATATAATCTAATGCTCATTATGATTAATTTAACAAACAAGTGAATGATTAACTTGACTTGAGAAAACTAGTTAATTAATTTAAGAAAATCCGTCATCATATGCAATAACACTCAATAAATTAGCATATTAATCTAGAATTTATATTGATTGATTATGGTAAAATCAATGCCTTAATACCTCCTATCTTGGTTAGATTTATTTGTTATTTTCTTTTTATTATTTTTAATTAAAGTTTCTTCTTATTTGATTGTTCAAATAAATTTAGATTAATTATTTTAGTACTTAATTAGACACAATCCTCATAAATTCGACACTCTCTCATCATTATATTACTTGGAGCGACTAATCCACTTATTAGGGTGATTTTAGTGCATCAAATTCTTTTTAGTTTACTAATTTTTTTTAATTTTTAAACTTTTAAAACTAAAGTGATATATTTTTAGTTTTTTAGAACAATTAATAAAAAGGTTCAAATGTAGTTTTTTTTTTTTTTTAAACTTTTAAAACTAAAGTGATATATTTTTAGTTTTTTAGAACAAATTTTATAAATATTTTATTCTCATTTTAATAGAGTTAGTGGATTT